AAAAAAAACATTATACCGATTTTTCTAGAATCTTTGAACTTAACTATGGAGTTAACCTTGTTAGTCACTTAGCAAAATATTTCAGGAACCACTAATAGTGAAACTTTCAGAAAGTAATCATTGGCTATGCATCTACTCATTACCTTTTAAGGTCAACTAAAGCCAATATGGACGCCACAACTCTTCGATCAAATCCAAGACAAAAATGTCTCCAAGTTTCCAGCTACTGAACTAAAATTTGATGTGGTGGTAGCTAATAGTCTTATTTAACATATTTTCTGAGCACGTAAGATATCCAAACATTGTTTCACAATGTTTTTAAGGGCAATATGCATTTTTTTTCAAGGAACTGTGGACCTACCTGTATATGTGCTAGTGTTAATGTTGTGCTGTTATATATTGTTGGTGTTATTGGTCTCTCTTGGATGCTCAACATTGTGTAGCCACAGTTAAAGGTTAATCATTTCCAAGGAAAGACCGTGAACATTAAAGAATGTAGGTTAGCCACAAGTTGGCATGTGTGTTTACACAGTGGGACTCTCCCAGGTGCTCTACAATCCCCAGGATTACAGTGGAGGGAGATCTAGCACTCTACACTCCCTCTGACACACACACACACACACCACAGTCTCCCTACCCCCCAAAAGGAAAAAGAGGAGGGGAGACAGAGGGAGGTGGAGGGAGATAAGAGATCAGATGGAGGAAGGGAGAGGTAAAGGGGAGTGTGAATTCAGCAAACCACCACCACAAAGGTTTGAGCTGTGTGGAATATTCCCTGCAACATCTACTTTTCTGTATGAAGCAGCTGCTTTCTAACCTTGCAGGATGGTGGGACWCTCTTCCGTTGCTGTCGAGGGTAAGTTTAGTAAATGCTGTCCTTTCAGGGCAGGTATCTATTGGTAACATATGTCAGGATTGTTTGAGGGAAGTAAAGACCTGGTAGAGCATGGTTTGTAAAGTTGTCCTACTTTGTCTTACTCAGCAAATCAGGTGATGATGTTTACTCCATGCCTACAGAATCGTTGGAGCTCACTGAAATGCCAAGAAAGGGGAATGTTGTTGATTTGTTGAGAATGCAATCATTTTGGCAGCAAACCTCATTGTGGTGAAACATTTGGGATTTGAATCCACCAAAGACTTTGTGGGTTGAACTGTGTCATTTTTGGATTGGATGCAGGCGAGGATGTTGTGAAACAGATCAGATCCCAGATCAGTGAAATTTGTGACTTTTGACACACTGTGAAGTTGTTTTGTGTGTGTGGGTGTGTGTGTGTGTGTGTGTGTGTGTGTGTGTGTGCTCAGTGCAGAGGCTGTAAACTCAGCATTGAGGGGAAGGAAGTATTTTGGTGTAAGAAGGGAGTTGAGGAGGAAAAAACACCTACGTGTGCCCATTTGAGGTCACATTATTCCTGAGATGAGAGTTTGTTGGACATGTTAGCACAGGTGCTCATCTCCCTAACATTACTAACCCCCACCCTTTGCTTCATCCCCAACAGAGTCACAACAAAAGGACTCCAATGGAAGCTCGTTATAAAGACCTGAGTCTGCCGTGTTAAACAAACTACTCTGCTTTACAACAGTACACACACACACACACACACACACACACACACACACACACACACACACACACAC